TCTACGTAGCGCTTTCGTGTGGACAGCATCACTCCGACGAAAGTCAGCAGCATGAGTAGACCAACCAGATAGACTGCCATGAAACCGTATTCGGCTGGGATTGCTCCAAAGCCATGGATAGCGAGCGAAGGGAACACAAGCGTAGCTGAAAGAAATGCCAAGGCGAGAGGCCCAAAAGTTGAGGCTGAAGAAACTCGCGCGCTCTAATGGAGAATTGATCACCGCCAAATGAGACCGTCAGCGCTCGAAGACACACCTGGTTGAGCGCAACACCACCGAAGAGACCAACACAGAATAGAGTCTGACTCAAAGACTGTGTGGCGCGAATTGACGGTAAGGCTGCAAGGGTGATGAGCACAAAACCCACGGAACTGGAGGATGCAGCGCCCAGGAGCGTTTTGAACTTGCCAAGGAATTCGTCAGAGATGTAGCCTGCAGGGATGCACGCAAATTGGCTGAGCGAGTCGTACGTGAGCTTCATGGAGTTGGAACCCTTGTTGGACCAGCCGAGCCGTTGGAAAAAGTTTTTAAGCGATTGGTTGACAGCGTAGCTGGCCACTTCTTCGCATATCGTTAGGAGGAAAATGAAGACGCAGACTTTCTTGATGATGTTCCGCGAGTATTTGGACGGTCGAGCATCCCAAAGCTTAGTGCTGTAGCCCGCGGATGGCTTCGGTGACAATGTTTGGGTGCTGTAGTCGGTGGTTATCTTAGCGGCACCGAGTAAAATAGTACTTACACGAAACATTACAGTAGTACCTTCGTAATTTTGACGATAAAATACTGTCCATGGTAAATTTCAACTCAGTTCTGAAAAACAAGATTTCTGAAAAAGACACCCCCTCTCCCCCCTTTCTCCCAACCCCAAAATCTATGAGCCTTTCATTCCAAAAAATTCCCGCGCACTACATCAGCCACCCGCCCCTCCTAAACTCTAATACGAGACGAAGACACACGACAGCTCTGAAGGTTAGCATGCATGTTCATGTAGATTAGAGGGGGGGTGTAACGGGGTACGTAGCACTAAGTGTACCCTGGTTACATGAAGTGTGACACTTCACACTTCAGGAGTATGACATGTCATACTCCGGGATATTTGGTACAAGGTACCAAGGTCATTCAAAACCAACCATTGGTTAAATGACATTGCATTTCTATAGGTAACTGATAGTTTGTATTAACCTCAAACTTAACCTACCTATAAATATACTCAGTTTACAATCTACCTTATTTAGGTCACTTCGCTCTCTTTAATAAAAGAGGGGACCTGTGAACTGCCGTTCACTGAGAGTTTGTATACTCTCGGAAGATAACTTCCTCTTGCGCAAGGTGCTGTGTGACCCCGTCACACTTGGTAGCACTTGTAGTCAATCCACGCCATCGCGGGTAGACTACCTGAACCTCCGAAGTTCGTTGCCATGGATAGGAACGACTTCTCCCATTTGAACGACTCTCAGTTCGAGTCGGTTCGGAAGATGGCACGCATCTTCGGGATGGAGGCCCTGCAGAGCCTGGTGGTGTCAACACCGGCTGAGCAGCTCGAGCGCGTCAATGCATTCGACGCGTACGAGCAGGGCCTCATCGCGCATGTGCGGGAGAACCTGCAGGCTCCGGCGGCGGAAGCAAATCCGCCTCACCCGAAGCCAATACGGCTGAAGGTAAAGCCGTTTGAAGGGAAGGAAGGCGAGAACCTTCACTTCTGAGTCCGAGAAGTAGAGCTCGCGATGGACGCGGCTCTGATCTCGACCGAGCAACTGCGTGTTGCTTTTGCACTCTCCAACTTTAGCGGTCGTGCTAAGAGTTGGGTGTACACTCGGGAAGCAACATCCCTTGGATGTTTTACATCCTGGGCTCA